ACCCATATTAAAAAAACCTCACCACATAAGGGACGACAGAAATGAGAAGAAAGTATTCATATAAGATAGTTTCTTGCAATATTAGAAAAATCCTGGTTTTCGAAGAATTACGGAAGCTCTTAACCGACTACCTTCAGAAATTTCTCTGGAACATTTTAAGAGACATTCTTGAATTCGAGAGTCGAGGCGACTTAAAACCATGCATGAAAATCGACTATTCATTATTTGTTTTAGATGTCTCCGCTGGTTCTGTTATTTATATCCAACCAAATGAGTTCAACTTCAATAGGTATACCTGAAGCCAACAAATAATTACAAAAACTTTGATGTTTCATTTCGGAAAAGTAACAGTTTTCCATTTTCAGTAAAGATTTGGTTAGTTTCTTCTGTATAATAGGGATATAACGCCGCATATTTGAAAATAAAAATATCTTCAAATCATTACATAAATATTTTTTATTTCGATTTCATTGTTGAAAAAAAGAACAAAATGTTAGGTACAAAAGATTGCGCTTTTATTTTCTTGGCCAAAATTCGTGTATCTATTCAACTCCTAAAAATACCATTGGTAAAAACCACATACAGCCACAAGCGTACACTCACACAAACGCACACACACACACACATATCCATTAAGATATCCTTCAAACTTTGTTACCTTGTAAACACTTCACTTCTTAAACGCACTACGTTGCAGTGGTTTTTAACAATGTAATGTGCATTGCCACAGCAAGGATACAACAACAACAAAAACGACAACAGGAACAGCAGAAGCAAAAAGGAGTAGAAGGAACAAGGCAAGAAGCAGCACCAGCAGCTGACAAACAATTCATATTTTCGGGTGTCCATGTGTCGTTCGGTATGTGCGTGTGTGTGTAATGGTATACATCCATACACACTGTTGGTTCAAGTGGTGCAGGTTATGAACCTGTTTCCTTTGCTTCTTATGCTGCTGGTATACTACGCTACCGACCACCAAACGAATTCACTCAATGTGTAGATTGCCATGAATTAACTCTCCTCCTTCCCAGAGTCGGTCACACAGACACGCACACACGAACACATAGCGTAACGAAAAGCTTTATGTTGTTTGTACGACAGAAGGAAAAGCTTTTTATCCGTTCACGAAAACAATTCGGAAAAAGGGAATACATTTCTATTCGACGTTTCATAGGAACATTTTTGGAAATTGCAATTTAGTATCGTCGCGATTGCAGTGTGGATCAATACTCGTAAAACGTTGGAGCTCAGTGTACGCGAAAACTGAAAACCCAACAGACACACACACACTCACACCAAAAATATATCCTTTTTCTTCTCTGCATGTGTGGTGTGTCTGTGTGCTAACTGTAAATGAAGAAAAAATCTTGATTTTTTCGGGGGTACACAATATTGTCCTTCATAAGATATAGAAAAATATAAAATTTGTTCACTAAAAATTAAAGAAAAACGCGAATTGTTTGGTGGGCGAAAATTAAATGTAGGAAAACAATGAAGTTAAAGCGAAAACACTGAAGTAATTGCGTGAAATATTATGTAAAAAAAAAAATAAATTACACCAGCTACAACATATTATATATGGAAAATTGAAAAAAAAAGAAATATATACCAGTTCAAAGAAAAAGTGAAAATTATTAATTCTTCTACATGGAGAACAGTTAAAGAATTACATTAAAGGAATAGTTTGTGAATGTATAGGAATTTTTCATTTATAATTGCCATTTTCATAGGAAAAATTTTAGTATGTACACATGGAGGTTCCAAAAATGTTGTAGTGGGCATATTGAGGCATTGAGCCAGGCATGTGATGGTGTTGGCTTCTGTAGTCAATATTTGGATGGCCAAAATTTAATTTTGCACTAATGGAAATTGTCTTCTATTGAAAATAAACAAATGTGTGTCCTCAAATGAATGAAAATTATTAAAAAAATTGTGTCTATTATCGATAAAAATAAGCATCCTGAATAATGTAAAGTGGGGAGCTTTTTTCCTTTTGGCAGCAAACATAAAGCTTTACACGCCAACTCACAGCTAACTTCACTTGAATGGCTGAAGGAAGCGATAAAGCTTTCGTTTTTATTAACCATCAACTTGGGGTGAACAGAAGGTTGATTTTTTTTTTTGGTTTGGCAGATATACATACATAGTTGTGAACGAACACACATACATATGTATATACAAAAAATACATATATATACGCTTTACGTTGCATGCCATATCACAACGACAACAAAATAAAATGTTCAATGAAAGTTACTCGTACTCGTGTCAAAACCACAACAACAACAATAAAATATACCACCACAAATAAGTGAAGAGAAATTCGACAATTAAATCCTAACCATGACAATAACAACAACAGCAAAGGGATATTTTACTATTTGCAATTGTTCATGACGTTCTCTTGTGCAGTCTTTATTTCTTTTAGGTGTTTTTTTTTTTGTTAATTTCGCAAAAAAAAAAAACTGTTCAATTCTTAAATTAAATAATTATTATGTTTCAATATCGGAATTTCTGAAATATTGCAATTTCCAAATAGAGTTTGAAAATTAATTCTAAATTTAATAATGTTCCTTGTTCCTCATAAGGTTAGCTACTGTAATAGGGCCACAGTAGGCCTGGTATTTAAACACGATTTATTTTAAAGTTAAAACTTTAAAAAATAATATTCCGTTAGTTTTTTTTTTCATTTACATGAAGTCAATTGAAGGGTTTTTACAAAACGACACAACAATTAAATATTGTATAAATCTAAAAATAAGTACATTTAAAAATATACAAAATATAAAAATATGTATTAAATTACATATTTTTGTAATAGATAACTATTGTGATGGCTAAGGGTTTAAACACGTTTTATTTAATTTTTATTCAATTCATGTCATGTCATAATATCAAAGACTACGAGATTTTTGTTAAAAACTACGAAAACCTCTGAGAGAAATTAAAAAAGGAATCAAACATTTGAAGATTAATGAATAAAGTTACCCCGAAAGACCTTCTCCAAAAGGCGTTAAAATATATTGTATTGTGTTCCATCCATGAAATATATGCTTTTGTTTTATCCTTTTTGGTGGATTCCTCCATTGACAGCAAAGCAATTTAGAATGGAATTATACTCACATCTAATATTATATAGGTCTATCGAAAACAGTACACAGCATATCAAATAAGTTCGATTAATTATCACAAATATAAAAATGAAGTATATTTAAATTCGAGTTCGATCCACTATCAAAAGATATAAAACTAAAATATCTTTAGATTAGAAAATAGGTACGTTTTTACGTAAGTCCAGATTTACATTAGACAATTTTAATTGTTTGAATTCAGTAGTTTTTAGGTAAGCCAATTGAGGGGATTGACAATCTGTCAACTCTCTCGCCTAAAAATTTACGCAGTGTAAATCAGGACTAAACAATATAAATGTTTTTAAATACAAATGTATTTTCAGTTAAATCAACTAGCTAATTAACAAAATAATTTAAAAAAATTACAAATTTTGAACCAAGCGAATTGAGGGGATTGACAATCCAATTTTGAACCAATCCACAAGAGATATGTGGTTCGAGCAGTTCGAGTTGTCATCACTGTTTACAAATGAATTGTAACCAATACATTAAGAAAAACATGTTACGGATAATTGTATCCTCACTTATCCGAAGCTTTTTCTCCGACTCTCTTCTAACAAATCTTTCTCTCTCTTTCGCTTTCTCTTTGAGTGTGTTTCGGTTTTAATAGAATTTAAGCAAATCAAACACTATGAAAAGGAAATCGCGCAAAATTTACTATAGCCAACAAAGTAGTGGCATTGTTGTTGTTGACAACAAATAACAATAGTCCTCCAACAATAAGCTAATACAACTACAAAACATCAACTGGACATACGATTAATAAAAAAACCAAAAACAACCATTTAAAATAACAACAACTAAACTGAATAAAAATTAAAAGTTTATCATAGAAAATAACCAACAATAACAACAACAAAACATGTACCACGTCAATTTCATGTGAAACAAAGCACCATTAGCAGAAAAAAAACTAAAAACGAAAAACCTTTATAAATAAATAATTCAAAAGCGTATCGAGTTTAAATGGCTTTTATCGTTACATTTCAAAATTAAAGTGCATGTCCCGGCCTATAAAACGTCAACATGAAATGTAAATATAAACTGAACTGAATTGAATCGAATTGCAGAGTGTACAACATCAACTAGCCCAGGCAGTCAACCATTCAGCCAGCCAGTCGAATGTACACATACAAACATACGAATACAATACTCGTTTATATCCTCCGAAAATTCAAATCAATATTTCATTTAGATCAGTCAAAAAGTGCGGTTCGTGTGGTTTTTTGTGTTCTCGGTTCGTCTAACGGCAAAACACGCAAACACCACCACTGGGAAGCCGTTACTCCAGCAACATTGTAGTGAAATTTTCCAAACATATCACGAGATTCATAAGATAACGACGACAGCGGCGGCAGTAAACTCAACCAATTTAGGCAAATTTCTAAATTACCTATGAACGAAAAATAGTGGAAACCCTAAAATACTTCCCCGAACAATAGCGAGGGATACGTTTTGCAATAAAAATGTTGTCTTTAGCAGGATCCGCAACAACAGCCGCTGAATTCCCACTAAATAAACGAGGTCACCGAAACCAATCAAGAAGAAAAACACTATTAAGGCCATCGCTAACAGCCGCCCCACCACCACCACCATCACTTTCAGCAATATCGCCACCACCTCAACAAACACCAGCAGCAATAGCAACAGAGACTTTAACAACTGCAACATCGTTGCCGCCGCTATTGCCATTCGCATTAAACATGGATTCGCGTAAAGACAACATTAGTGCAACAGCAGCAGCAACAACAATTTCAAAGTCTTCTTCATTGTCGCGTAATCCCGCATTAATCCATCATAAGACGATGGTGTCCAAGCCAACACCACCACCAACAACAATAAGAACATCCATTGGCCATCGTAGCAGCATAACATGCTCTGCATTTAGACGACTGCATTCGATGTTATTGATTTCATTGCTGGCCTTAATCCTGTCCTGCTGCTGTTTAACCACAGCTGCGGCCTTTCAATTGGATGGCTCGCAGAATTCATTTGCCCAATTCCGCAAATGGTATGTCGGCTTAAATGGTTCCCTTGAACTGGAATTTAAAACGGAGCAACCCAACGGTTTGGTCTTGTACACGGATGACGGCGGCACCTATGATTTCTTCGAATTGAAGCTGGTCGAAGGTGCGTTACGATTGCGTTATAATTTAGGTGGTGGTGCACAGATAATAACCGTTGGTCGAGATTTACATGACGGACATTGGCATAAGGTTCAGGTAAGAATGATAAGAAAACAATATTTTTCGAAAATAATTGAAAATTCTCCGGAATCACTTTTAATTTGAGTTTATCTATTTGATTGATTGGGCAAACAAATGTCTATTGAATATACAGATATACAGTGGTGGTCACGTAATTAAAACATTTACAGTGGTAACCATTTTTTGCTTAGCCTACGATTCTTTTGAAGTATTTTTGAAATTTTTTTTTAATTCAGAACACTTAGATATACTTACTTAAGAGATTTAGTGTGAAAATAGAAAATTATTGCATGCAATTCTTTCACAAATAAGGGTTTTTTATGAAAAAACATCGACTTTGAGGTGGCCACATAATTAAAACATTGTGTAATTTTTTACTTTACTGCATTTTTTGGACATATTTAAAAAAACTCTTTAAATTAGTTAAATTATGTAAACTAAGCACCGATAACATTATTTACAAATATTTTTTTTTTGAAAAAATCTATCAAAACTGCCAAAAATGTGTACAGCACACCAAACATTCAGAAAATCACCCTTATTATAGAATATAAAGGTCCGAATGCACCAGAAATGGCTAGAATTAGTAGAAAAAATAAAATGTATTACATCAAATCGATAGTTCGAGTAGTACAGAATATATTTTATCAAAAAATGTATTAGTCACAACTCCCAATACTGCTACCCTGTTAACATATGAAAATTTGAGTTTCAAATCTATCTAACTCCCACAAAGAATTCGTTTAGTAATATTATGCGGACGGACTATCCGAGTTGAGCCAAACATTGCACAACATAATATTTTTACCAAGCCTGCATATTGTTGAAAGGTGGGACTTATCTCTTAGCCGCATTCTTTTTGGTACTTCCCCGCAAATGGTCTAAATTCTGAAAATCCAATATTAAGCGAATGTAATGTCCGATTTGACACAAACACGTCGTAATATTTTTAACTATCCCAGATCAAGTGTGAATCGGTAAATCCAATATTAAGCGAGTGAAATATATGGTTTGACTCTAACTCTGCACATAGCCGTATTTTACCAAATCTAAATCAAGTTCGGTTTATTTCATCGACATTTTCATTTAAAAATCGATATTTTAAATATCTTTGAACTTCCACTTAATGCCTAATGCTCTCATATAAAATAAGGCTATTTATATTGTCGAATCATTAGTGCAAAATTTATGAAAATCGGTTAAGTTGTCACCGAGTTATTTGCATTTGAATTGAACGATGTTCCGAAATATACTTATTTATTACCTGAAAATGAAGAATGAAGAAAACTGTTAATGTGGCAACTATGTCAAATATACTGGGAAAAGAAAAAGTTTTCAGAAGTTATACGTTTAGAGAGCTTGGCTTATTGATACCGTGAACTTTGGTAAACACTATTGAACGCGATTGGTCTGTCGACAACTCCGACTTACAGTATTTTACTACTTATCTTTTCTCTAGCGTAGTCTCGTCCTTTCATTAGTTGGGAATCTGTCATTTGTACTTTTTTTGTTTCGTCTTGAAACGAATTCATGATCTCATTTGACATAGCGTAATGTTATTAAAATCTATTCGTCGCCAGCTCTGAACCTATGGACTGGACCCAAACTTATGTGTTTATTCCGAATTTGAATAATTTTATAAATAAACCCCTGAAGTATTCTTAAAAAAATGTGACATGGAAATATACATAATTTTAATAATAAATTATGTTTTTTAATACAGGAATTTATTTTTTTGGTATGGGAAAGGGTTTTAGATAAACTATAAAATAAATAGATTATTGTCGAATCTGGGACGGAGAACGGTTATACACAAATTTGTGTTTCCTAAATTCGACAAACAGGTACATTTAACTCAGACATTCTTTATATTTTTAACGAATATAATTTTCCTAACTTTGGACATGAAATCTGTTCTGTAATTTTTTGTACACGTTCTGATTTCATTAATGGGTATCCGCTATTCCTATTCATTTTAGATTTTCTGCTCCAAAATATTATCTAAATATGTTATTTCAATGTTTCGTATATCGATGCTTACCCAATTTAAAATGTGTTAATTCCTCCATTCAACCACCAACAAAACCATATCTTGCTGCTTCCATTTAAAAATAAAGAAATTACAATATTTATGAAAAAATTAAATAATTCCAACACATACTTGGGATATATACACCAACACACACATGCACACATTTGTATGTGTATATATCAAAGGAATCTAAATTGAAAAACAATTCCCAATCAGTGCTGAATGTGGTTCGCCTTGACCATTTTACGATGAGATACGGCATATGTTTGACATCCTTTTGGCCCGATGTCAAAAGATTGTCATTGATTTCAATTCTTGGTTTTAGATTGTTGTACCGTATTGTTCAAGATGAAGATGATGATGATGACGACGACGATGAGAACGACTACGACGATAATTACGCTGTTGATGATATGATGGCTGCTCCAGGCTATGGATTTAGTAAAAATAAACATTGTTGACATTTTGCCATTATGTGGGTGGGTGGGGTGACGGTGGTGGTTTCTTTGTGAGCGGCAACGACGACAGCAGCCACAAATAAATATAGTCAAGTTGCATCGTTTGATCTGTCATTAGGAACGATTCAAAGTGCAATTTTGGGTATCACCAACATCGACGTCGTCATCCTCCTTCTCCTTCTCCTCATCATCATCATCATCACCTCCAGTAATCGCAGAAGCCAAAGTATTTGCATTGAGGTTCCGGGCTATGTATTCTGTGACAATAAGTATTGTTGATATTTTTCTTCCAGTGGCGGTTGTGGTGTGTTTGTGTGTGTCTGGGTATGCGCGCTTAGTGAATACTGAAAGTGCCACATAATTGCCATGACATTAGCAATAGAATTCCACATAATGTTTACCTGATTTAGCTTTATGAGATTTGCTCTTGTATCTATTCATAAGCGGGGATGTTTGTATGTTTTGCCTTTGTTGTGGTTCCTCTTCCTTCCGTTCCGTATTTCTTTTTCGTCTTTGATTCAGAGAAGATTAAAATGTAATATAAAAATAACCTTAACCTTTGGAACTAGGGATTATTTTGTTTAATGTCCTTAAGCTTTTCCGAAAAGGTACCACTAGCACAAAAATAAAGTAAATATATACATACACACACAGTGTGTATATATGTATAGGCACGTGTTTGTTTGTGTGTGTTTGTATCCAACAATGTTGTTGACAATGGTATTTAGTCATATCCTTGTACAGTTGGAAGATGTTAGAAGAATGGATTTTGAACATCTGAAGGACACTCCTTTGCTGTTCGGTTAGCTCGTAAATTTCTATTTAAAAGTTGCGTGTGTTGAATTTTTAAACATTGCTCGACATTAAAATGTGAATATTCGAATTGTCCATCTGCAGTGTGAATATTTGATTTGGAAGTAATCCATATGATATGTGTGTACATATATGTGAAGTTTATTTTAAAAACTTCATATTTTGTTCGAGAATAATAAAAAAGATTTGATCAATATATTTATTATGGTTGCATAGGTCAATTAAATATACATTTTTTTATGCCACAGCAGTTATGAACATTTTCTATAATAATGCCATAAAATGAGATAATAGGTTTCGTAAAATAACTTTATTAGTGCTTTGGAGATAATGTTTCAAAGGTCTATGTAGTTTTATATAGCAGGTATGCTTAGCCATATACGCGACCGTAACTGAGCATCCATGATTAAACACTCATTCTCTCTTTTCTCCTTTTCGTCAGTTGTTTTTAGAGATGAATTCTCAGTTACTCTCAGTTTTGTGATCCCCACCAATGCTATATAGCCAATAGAGCGATATTGGCCGAAGTGTAACATTACTTGGTATTGTAGATGTGACTCGTATTTCGCGGTTTAATTTTTTTTTTTTTGAAAGAATTCCTTTGGCTAATATATTAAAACTCCACGAGGGAACAATATGTGAAGTTTTAAGTTTTAAGCATGGTGAATTTTTTGTGGGTGACCCTATATTTCATGAAGTTGAATTTGTATTTTTGTATACGGTCCTCGAGTTCTTGTATGCATTTTGCTGATATGATCCTCAATGACAAGAAATCTGTATTTTCATGTTTTCATCATCCTTTTACATTTTTATTCGATCTTTGCTCACAAAACTTGGTATCTATGTACTCTAATAAAATTCTTATACCTATTTCTAAGGAAACACACTCGAAAATAGATTTCAAAATATGCCATTCATAATTAATAATGTTGCATTACGATCGTTGGGTTCATTAATAACAACATGCGTTCATTAATAGTCATGTTACTTCCGACATTTTCCCTAAATTACTTAAAAGACGGCCAAAAATAAACAGAAATCAAGACACAGACACACAAATATTTTACAATCCCTATTAAATTTTTAAATTAACTATTAAATACGAATCCTATTCTATTTCCCTTTTGCAGGTCATACGCAATGATGAACAGACCTCCTTGATTGTCGATGGCGTTTCACAGAGCCGCACCACCAAGGGCAAGGAATTTCAATTTGGTAAATTCGCAACTAACTCCGATGTCTATGTCGGCGGTATGCCGAACTGGTATAGCACTAAGTTGGCCCTACTGGCCCTACCCAGCGTTATATTCGAACCACGATTCCGTGGCTCAATTAGGAATCTTGTCTATGCGGATCAACCCGGTGGTCAGACACGGCGACAAGAAATGAAACAGCCACGCGACATCAAGTGCGGCGACGGCCCGTGTGATCACAGCGAAATGCCCAAAGAAAAAGTGACGCGCAATTTGCGTGGCAGCAATGTTACCGATGCCTGCGAACGTCACGATCCATGCCAGCACGGTGGCATTTGCATATCAACCGATTCTGGCCCCATCTGCGAGTGCAGAAATCTAGAATACGATGGACAATATTGTGAAAAAGAAAAGGCCCCATCAGAGGCGACTTTTCGCGGTACACAGTTCCTTTCATATGATCTCGGCCAAACGGGTGCTGAACCTATTGTCAGTGCCCAGGATGCCATAACATTATATTTTCGTACCAGACAACCAAATGGATTACTATTTTATACGGGTAAGTGGTACTTGCAAACATATACATTACTACACAAATAAATGTACACGCAAAGGTATTTGGGGGTAGTGTCAGAGTTCAGCAGCTAATACCCGAAATGCCGAACTGAAAGCAAAAGGTCAATTGTAATGATACTAATAAGTAATGACTAATAAACATTTTGTGTTTTGTTTCGTTGTTTTCTATTTTTGTTGTTGGGGTATTTTAATTGCTTCATTGCTCGATAACTGACGAAAAGGACACGGCACTGATTACTTAAATTTGGCTTTGCGTGACGGCGGTGTTTCTCTAACCATGGGCCTGGCCAATGGCAAGCAAGAAATGCACATAAAACCATCCAAAATACGCTTCGATGATCATCAATGGCACAAGGTGACGGTCCATCGGCGCATACAGGAAATTTCATCGATTACCAGTTTTTGTCGGGTAAGGAATAGCGAGTCATTTAAAATGTAATTCGATACCTTAATGAAAAATACATAACCTCATATTGTCAGCTTGTAACTGTTGTCGACGATGTCTATACGGATCATTCTCACATAGCTGGGAAATTTACCATGCTCTCATCATCGCGTGTTTATGTTGGAGGTGCTGTCAATCCACGAGCATTATTGGGCGCCAGAGTTCATAATAATTTTGTGGGATGTTTGAGAAAGGTAAGTTTGTAAGGTTATACCCTTAATATTAAATATATTTAAAAATACTTAAATATTACACAGCTAAGGCAATAAATATTGTCCTATGTTTTATCGAAATAATGAACATGTCATTACATACAATATATATTAGCCACTCATCCCACGTATCGGTTAAAATCGTATAAAATGTATTTCTTTGTGACCAATGACAATTTTGATCTGCGAAGAACATTCGAAAAGAATAATTCTGAAAATATATAACCTACTCAATTTCAGGTCGAATTCTCTGCGGATACATTATTGCTGAATTTAATTGATTTGGCCAAAAGTGGATCGAAACTTATACAAGTAGCTGGTAATGTTGAATATCAGTGTCCTGTGGGTGATCCTCAAGATCCAGTAACCTTTACGACACGGGAATCTCACTTGGTATGTTTGGCGGTGACTGTATTTAAAGAAGCCTCGCATTTTATATATATTTGTTATTATTCTCAGGTTTTACCACCGTGGGAGACTGGCAAACAAAGTGCAATTTCGTTTAAATTTCGCACCAAAGAACCAAATGGTTTGATAATACTGGCCACCGGATCGAAGCAGCCAAGATCGAAAAATGTAAAATTTAAAATCGAAATTTTAAAAGGAATCATAATAATAATGAACACAATAACTTTTCTTCTTCCATAGCCTGTTCTCTTTGCCATCGAACTGCTAAATGGCCACATTTACATTCACCTGGATTTGGGTTCGGGAGCTGTCAAGGTTCGCGGCTCTCGCCGCCGAGTAGATGATGGCGATTGGCATGATTTCACTTTGAGACGCAATGGTCGTGATGCTAAAGTTAGTGTCGACGGGGTCTGGAATGATTTCCGTACACCGGGCGAGGGCACTATTTTGGAATTGGATGGCCATATGTATGTGGGCGGTACCGGTCCCGCTTATAACAATGCCAATTGGCCGCCAACTATTTGGACGGCAACATTGCGTCAAGGTTTTGTCGGTTGTCTGCGCGATTTGGTATTGAGTACGAAACAGATTGATATAGCGGCATATGCCAGATTACAGGATTCGGGTAAATTGGAACAAGTTGAAAATCTAGAGATCATTTAAGTACTAATTTGAATTTTTAGCTTCTGTAAAGCCATCCTGTCATGTGCAAGCAAATGTTTGTGCAGGTAATCCCTGTCTGAATGGTGGAACATGCGTCGAAGGTTGGAATCGTCCCATCTGTGATTGTACATCGACCTTGTATTATGGACCAACGTGTGGACGGGAATCAGCTACTTTGGTATTCAATGGTACCCAGCACATGACCGTGTGGCTGGGTAATGGCCAGGGTACCAAAACACAAACGGAAGAGTTATTACTACGCTTTAAGACAAGTCGGCCTACTGGCCTTTTACTTATGACCAGTGCTGAGTCAAATTCACCAGATCGTCTCGAGATAGCTTTGGTAGCGGGACGTATACGTGCCAGTGTAAGACTCAGTGATCGTGAAAAGGTAAGTTGGGGAAAGAGTGAGCTCTATTAATAAATGTCGGATGCGATTTTTGGATTGTGTGTAACTATTTTCTTCTCATTTTGTTGCAGAACCTATTGGCCGGCCAATCTGTATTAAATGACAACAACTGGCACACCATACGTTTCTCGAGGCGTGCCTCAAATCTGCGTCTGCAAGTTGACGGGGCTCCCCCTGTCAGGGGTATGTTATGTATGTATCACCAGCACTTTAATTGCCCTACTACGTGTCGTGCCGTGTCGTTTTTTTAAATCTAAATTTTTTTCATATCAAAATCCAAAAAATTAACAATCCAAACCAGAAAGAGAAAGCTCCTTCTCAACAAAACAAAACACCATTTGCGCATCCCAATCAAAAAATCAAAATTAACAACTAGCTAGGGTTACTGCTTGCGCCTTTTCTTTTCGTACAACGTATCCACCATCCATGTAAATATCAGGATTCCTTTTTGTTAACCAAAAAAACAAATCTCAATCTCAATATGCAGTTTACCGTTGTGTTTCCTCCCGCCACCAAGTGGTGGGCGGGACTTTTGTGGAAGTCCTTCGTGTTGTTATTTTCATTGTGGACATTATTAACTAAATACTACTTTCGTGTACATAAATATATATCTTTGATTTTGTAAAATAATTTACAACAGCAGCAACAACAACAACAAAACAACACCTTAAACCAAAAGAAACTTTAATTTGACGTCTTTGTTAGTTTTTGCCAGAAAGTAAAGTAAATGTTCCCACATAAAAATATTTAAATATATTTTGTTGGTTCAAAGCCAACAAAAACAACAACATTTTTTGATTATTAAAATATTACTATTATTATTAATGTGCGGTCATAATACATTCGTTTTTGTTTGGATATTATTTTTGTCTATATATTTAAATATTGGTATGTATATATATATATATATAAATGTATAGTATGAGCATTTACACTGTTCGACATTATTCAGTCAGTCATTTATTAGGCGAATTTGAAATAGTTTCCAATATTCTGTAGTTTAAATATGAGTAATTGTACGACTATTGCAGTAAGTAAATTAAGAATCCTTTGGATTATTTGGGCATTTCCAATTTCTGAGAACTTTTTCATTGATCGATAAATAGCTAAACAGGATGCATTTCTCTCATATAGGTTAGACAATGATGACAATGCAATGTACAACGAGTTATCAGTGAAATTAATTATATAATAGGGTTGTACCTGATGACAATGCAAAATTCATAATTTTTCTCCCATAGACCAAAAATACAATATTTTTCACTTGCACAAAGCAGTTGCCCTGTGTAATTCCATTTCAAGGACATTGTGGAGACACATTCGAAAGCATGCAAATCACAACACCTAACACCTGTACAAGTGTTGTATTCGATTCTCCCTGCCTCTCACCTTCATTCCCAAATTATTTCTTGCCATCGTCCTGTTGATTTATGTGGCAGTTTGCCACTGGCACGCACAGACTGCAAGTTAGGTGCGTTCTAATAAGTCATAAATTTTCTACATCTGCACTGAGCAGCTACAGCGAGCACTGAGAACGACAACAAAAACAAGAACACGAAAATAAAAATGAACCTCAACAACAACAATAGCAATAACATCTATATTAAACAAGTTTTACTGGCACAAATGCAAAATATGAAAATAGTTCCACATTAAAAATATTGCAAAATGGGCATCTAACACGAAATGTGTGCTGCCAGCTGTAATTGAATCTGGTCACACTTATGTCCTCCAGAATTTTTGACAGAAATTAGAAAAAGTGGAGAGAAAGAAAAAAAAACAACAATCTCACAACTTGCATTAACATTCATAAATTAGAATTATATTTCTTGCAAGGAGGTCAACTGATGCATTTGCAATTAGCATATTTTTGTAATTAACTTTTCTGTGAAATATTATGACAGTTGTGTTTTTTTTTGCTTAAAACTTTCAATATTTATTGCAAAAGATTATTATATGATCGCCATTAAAAAAAAAATTCCATAAATATTTTACTTTTTCAAAAATATTGCTGATAAATAAGGAAATTAATTATATGAAGATATGTCTAAGTCTAGTACCAAATATGATGTCTAAATAGTAAATGTTACAAATAATATGGGATGTACATAAACATACGTATGTATCCTGTCTACCAGTCGGTAATGTGTTATTAAGTCCTAATTTACATTAGGCAATTTAAAATTTCTCAAATCTGTACTTTGTAGGTAGGGGAGATAAGGGGAGTGGCAACCCTTCATTTGTCAGTTTGTGGGCGAGAGAGGCCACAACAAATTTCATAATTTATTTTTGGTATAAGGAACGTCGCCAATTCTATCTGTTTCTCATTATCGTGGACGCAAACTTTACCAATTTTTGTAATATATTTTTGTGACTGATGAACATATTTAGAGTTTTTTTAATCTCCACAACTATGCGATAGAAACAATCCAAATAAAAATTTGGAATTAGCGGGTGGAAAATCCTAACTTAGTGTAAGCTTTGAAGGGCGAGAAATTGTGCCAAGCATTACAAGGATTGCTATGTCCTTGTATTTCATTATGATATATTAAATAACTAATAAAATGAAGAACAGTGTAAATGTATATATATACATATAAACAAAAAATATATACAAATTTCTTTAATTTTATTTGTAAATGTAAAATTTTCAGTTTTGAGGTATTTTTATTTTCTTAATATTTATAATAATTTATAACATATTCTTTTTTTGTACAAATGATTATTTTCTTTTTTGAAAACAAATCAATTCAACTTCTCTCTCATTGTCCCAAAGTAGTTTTGTGGAAAGCATTGTTAACAAAAACAATAAAACAAATTACAAAATATACTCCCCCGCTCAACATGTATAAAACATTTCGATTTTAAGCTCAACAAGAACAACAGTAACAACAAATTTACAGACAAAGAAAAACTACTACCACTACTCATATACAATTTGAAAGTTATCCAACATCTAAATGTGTGTTGCGCATTGACATTTGAATATTTCCATAATTCAAAGATGTACAAACATGGCCTCTTTTTTCCTGTTAATTTTTTGCGTTACTCTGATGTTTTTTGAATTTGTGATTTTTTATGTTTTCAGTCTTGTTTTATCACTTGTTTCCCAAATAATTGTATATCCTTGGTAGGACATCAAAATCAATTCCAACAATCCAATCCACTGACATGACGTACTATTCGTGAATGTTTTGTCATGTTACCACCACACTATTACCATTTCCATTCCTTGGTTCTTCCATGGCGTTTTTGTAAAATCGAAAAATCCTTAACATTTTACCATTTCTGTCGGCCATTGACTTGATGCTAATCGTGTGGCTCCCCCTCTCCATTTATTGCTGTCTGTTGCTAGCAAACTAAAAATGCATCTCCTGCCCCTCCCCTCTCTTAAACATGTTCCCCGATAAAAGGCATTGAAATTTGAAATTACATTCATACATATGTATTTATTTATTTTTTGTATTCTTATTGACAACAACAACAACAAGTTTTGTACAAATTCTTCTTCTAAACATGTTTTGTTTGATTTCCATTTCAATAATCTATTTGTTTGTACGTTCGTTCGTTTGTTTGTTTCTGAAATTTGTTGTATGGTTTCGATTTTTTCCATTATATTTTTAACTTACAACTCCTCGTAATTTGTACCAATCCTCCAAGAAACAAAAACAAAAAAAAGAACCTCTTGATGTTGTGCTCCATTTTCTTACATTTGATTTGCTATCGAATTTGACAAAATATTGAAACAAAACAATTACACGATGATTTTATGTTTTACTCTATACGATCTTGTTTTTTTTCTTTCTTCCACTCGAAACAAGTGCGGAGTGACATGTTTTCTGTATTGTTTGAAACAAGTTTTTCTTATGTACATTTAAAAAAATATTTCATTTTTTGTTTGATGAAACAACAAAAATTTTAAAACAAAATTCTTAGTTTCGTATTGAAAAGACAACAACAGCTTATTTTGTTGCCATCTAGTAGCATAAAAAACAAACGAAAAAAAACCTTCATTCAGTTTGCATAACTTGTTAACAGCTTTAAAGTAGGTTTGAGATAAACAGCAACAACATCATTTGAACATTACTCATACTCCCAAGCCAAATTACAAACACTCAAACTCGCAGAGAAATTGTATTTGTATTGTATCCATCTATCCTCATGTGCAAACAACACGATTTCAAAGAGTAGAGTAAAGAAGTATGTGAGACAAACATGTTTCATTATGGACAACAACAGAACAATCATAATTGACTTTTGTGGCTCCCGAACTCAGGGAAATCCGTTTGTGGAGTGTTTGCCAACAATAGCTATAATTACAAAAAACATTTGCACACTCATATATAAGATAAAAAAATATTCTTGGCCAATCGACTGGCCGTCAAACGTTTAGGGTGCTTTAAACATATTTCTTACTAGAAAAGAAACTCAATTTTAAATAGTTCCGTTTACATTTCTAAATCGGGTTTTGAATAGTATTTCATTCGAAATAAATAGGGTCTAGTATACACCACCCCCTCTCAAAACAAAAAGTCCATATTATTCTTTGACACAGTGGAAAATTACGCAAATTGTGAAGGAATGAGTTCCATTATACAACTTTAAATATATACCACCCAAACAAAATATTGAAATTGCTTAACATTTAACAGGAAGGACCCGTAGAAATACTACAGAAACCTAGCAATTGCAATTTAAATATTGATGTGTCAAACGTATCAATGTTATTAACCCTTTGTGGCCCAATGTTGCCCACAGACAACAAAATGTTTTAGAGCTTATATTTAATATGCATCTAGTAGATATATATTATTTAGATTTTATATATACACATATCAAAATTTTGGTAATGTTATATGCTTTTCAATATAGTCAAGAGCGTAAAATTGTGTACAGTACTAATTTGTGTATACAGTCCAAATTATTTAAATCGCTTCGTATTCAAATTGTACGAATTCTGCCATCAGAATTGTTTTTGATTCTGGTATAAATGAATATAGAGAATAATTTAAAATTATTTTTCTGTCGATTTTGCATTTGGTTTTCTTGATATTGGACTTTAATTTTTCCGAAAGAATGTACTGTATCTCCCGAATGTAATTATGTAGCGATTTCAAATTTTGTGCATATCCTATTTAGTTGCATTAAATCTGTGAACAGAAATTTGTTCTAATATTGCGGAAAAACTTTCG